GACTTGTAGCGACCCACCTGTTTACAGTCTCCCAAGTGCTGGGATTACAGGCACACGCATCACCTCACCCAGTCTCACTTGCTGTCTCAGTGCGCCCGGGGGCGGGGTGGGCACGGCAGGCCCAGGGATCAACCCCAGCCCCTGCACCTGTTGCAGGCACTGTAAGCTGTAATCCATTGAGCTATTTGGCTGGCCCTAACTGTGTGGCTTTGGACAAAGACTTGACACATGATAAGCTTTTATAACATGACCCTAGATTTATCTACTGAATTTATAAAAGGTATTGAAACTTCTACCCAGAGTAGTACTGAGTCCTTCCCCATCCTCTTCTCTACTAAAGAATATAATAAATGCTGAAATTTGAGATCTGCCTACATCCTGTCTGGTTTAAATCAGTTTTCCACAAAACTTGCCGCTTTAATGGGGTCGTCAAAATGCAAATTTCATTTTTAAATAGCCCTTGATACATATTTAATGTCCCTTAGGCTGCATTGTATAGTTAATTTTCACAGCAGCATATGGGTAATGTATGTATTGTAATTCTCACTTTGCAAGTGAGAAAAGATGCTTGTAGATACTCAGTTGTTTTTCAAAATCACACAGCTAGTCCTAAGCTGCATAGCTATAAAGCAGACCGACCACAAAGCAAAGGAACCACAACTGTCTTCCCTGAACATCACTTGCTGTGAAAAACTTTATCAGATCTAAAATGAGAACACTATGAGAAAATAATCATCAATTAAAGTATATACAAGTAAGCCTGGTGTACTGAAGTCTGAAAGACACAATCAATAGCTAATCATGAGATTTATGAAATTCCTAATATTGAATGATCTGACATACAGGATAGCAATTTTATCGATTTCAATCCCATACATTTCCAATTCTTTCTTTGGAAGGGATTTATTGCACTTACTAGGTCATAATCATTTCACAACATTTACCAAGGCTTATGTATTATTATATAAGGGTCTGTTTACTAAGCTCTTTATCCCGCTTATTAACTAATCTCAACCACAGCTGCCGCTGAGCATGGCAGTGCACACCTGTATTCCCAGTACTTGGGAAGCTGAGGCAGGAAGATCACTATGAGTTTGAGGCCAGCCTGAATGACATTGTGAGACCCTGCCTGGAAGGAAGGAAGGAAGGAAGGAAGGAAGGAAGGAAGGAAGGAAGGAAGGAAGGAAGGGGAGAAGAAGAAGAAGAAGAAGAAGAAGAACAAGAAAAGAAGAAGAAGAAGAAGAAGAAGAAGAAGAAGAAGAAGAAGAAGAA